AATAATTGACAATAATTAATAATTGATAAAATGGTGACGTTACTCCTCGGGTGTGCATTATTTTCTAAGAATTCAACAGACCAATTCAATTATTCCGAATATACTACGGTTACCACACCTCAAGACATCGATCAGATGATATATTTCAAGGCATTTGTCTAGTTTTTCTACTTAAAACGCTATTGAGAGTTGGATTATTTCTTCCGCATCTCATCCAACACCTCAGTTGCTAATTCCAAAACATCTTAAACATTTACACATCAAAACATTTTAAACCTAGTAACGGAGGCTTGAGCCATTGATAGCAGACTAATGCAGCTAATAACTAAGTTATGAGAGAGAGAGAGAGAGAGAGAGAGAGAGAGATTACCTCTGTGAGTCTGTGCGTCTCTCGGCAGTGTCTCTAATAATAGTGAAACTTTTAAGTAAATTTTCTTCACGAACAGCGCCGTTGTTGTTACCTCGCTTGTGAGAAGTCATGTAGTTTTTAAGTTGTTAAGCTATGTTACTGATAAAATCATTTAACAACATTAGCGCGTATGTTAACGTGTGTGCAAACTGTATGTATGTGCGTCTGTGAGGGAGAGAGAGCGGGAGAGGTAGAGTAGTTTATGCGCTTTCCGTACATAATAAAACGTAATTTTGTGGCAAAAACATGGAAATTATCTGTCGTTTTTATCCTATTGTTTACTGTATTTATCTGTTTGGCCAGTATCGTTGTCGGTTTTCGCTGGTTCTTTTGCTGTTTTAGTCTGTAAGGACCTTTGAAATAACTGAAATCATTTGGCGACGTGATATGGTCATGTAATGTGGTCAAGAGCTGCCTGGAACTACAGTACGTTCGCCGTGCGTTTCCCTGAAAATAATTGCACACCTTAGAACATTTGTCAACCAATCAGATTCAAGCATTCAACGGCCCCATAGTATAATCTGTAGTATACTGCACATTTTGTCAAATGCAGACCACGTTGGTATTATATGCATAAACAGAAAATTTGTATTGTCTGCCTAGTATGCATACTGTATTCTGCAGCTGTAGCATGTTATTCAGAACAAAATCTGAAATTGCTGGCAAAATGGCATATTTGACATTGAACTTCCACTCTACTACAGATTGCATTACATTGGTTATTAAATGACAAACAAGAAATTCATATCTCAATCAATAACTGGCCATCTCCTCGAACCCCAAGTGGGTATTTGACCATGAGCGCAGGGTGTTAAGACTGCATGCTCACGCAGCGGCTGCTGTTATTTTTGAACGGTGCGTATTTGCATGTCAGTCGTAAAGTGTGCGAGGCTGTTTCTGTGCGTTCTGGCTCTCTGGGGACAGAGGAATGAGGCACTTCTCTTTTGAGGACGCTGAAAATTTCAGCTTTGCATTTTCTCTCTGGCTTTAATGTGTTGCCTCTTTTTGGGCCCCAGCTTTGATCTGGTGCAGGATGTGTTATCATTCCGTCATGATGAGCTCATGGAGTGCATGACCTTTGGCTTCACACTGGTGTGGAGAGGTGTAATCCACCTGGAATCCATATGTCTCTCCTAGTGTGTTTATAGCCCACGTCCAGAGAGACTGAGTGTTGGCCAAGTGTGAGTCTAATATGAAGATGCTGCGTTTGTACAGCTTTTTAGCCAGATGTCTTCGCTCAGATGCTCAGTGACTTATAGAATATGTATGATATATTCCACATTTTTTTCCAATATAAAATTGAGCACTCAATATCTCTCTCTTTCTATCAGAATTTATAGATTGACTCCAATTTGGGATCAAACAAGAATCAACTAGAATCAATTAAGGCAATATTGGTTAAACTGGATTTTCTACAGAAACACTTATTACATGTGTTGTCACTAATGTGTCAGTGTAAATCTACAGCCTTTGGAGGAAATTGTTTGTTCTTTTTTTGTACAGTCAGACAAAAGTGAGTTTATTGTGGCATCCATCACAGGTCAGGCGCTTTGAAGGTCACGAACCCAGGTTCTTTGCAGCCACAGGTGCCAGAAACTCAGGCGTCGGACGGGTTGAATGCAGGCTGGATGAAAATGAATGGGTGCGTTTGTGTGGCCATAGCATTTGAATTAGCAGCATCTCCAGTCTTATTTACAGTACAAGCTCCCCATCGAAGCGTCCTGCTCTCCACATTGGAGGCGTCCTGTGGTTAAGGAGGTTTGGAAAATTGACCCTCCTGTCTGACTTGTGGCTAGTCGGAAGCACTGTCGCCCTTTCCTTAAGTCCCTTCCTTCTGCTTTTCCCCAAAAAAATCCCCTTAAAGAGTGCAGGATGAGAAGGATTTCCTCTGGTTTGACGGCACATCTTTAATTTGAGTCTGCTCGTCTTCCACTCTTCTCCGAGCACAAACCCCAGCCAAAGCCAAAGGCCTCTGCGGAGCTGGCATTCCCCTTTCCCTGCCGCGTTGCTTTATTTGTCCTTCCTCGTTCTTGCCTTCTCATCTCACCCCTCTCTGTGACGGATGGTGACGGACTGTCTGCTCTGCTCTTCTCCACTTCCACACCCTTGGTCATCCTTTGTTGTGTTCTCACAGCAGTACACCTACATAGAAACCATAAGATGACCCTTTGCCTTCTTTAAACTTGATGATGCTCACTTCATAGATCCTATTGTAAACTGTAAGAAAAAATAGGTACTGGTCATTTTCTGCCAGGAACATTTTCTTCTAACCCTAAGACTGAACACAGTGCGTAATTTAAAATATGGGTAAACCACCTGTGAAAAATCAATGCAGAGAACATATTAACCTTTTCGTTAAGCGTAGATCTGTGTAGTATACTGTTCATAGCAAATGGGTTTTCAACCCATAACATAACAGGTCAAATACGTGGATTTAGGTTTTTGCATTCGTGAGATCAAAGCAGCTAGATGAAGACTGAATGAAGCAGATGGAGATGCATTTTTAAAGTTCAGTTTTATAACTGGACATGGCATCTTAAATGTGTGACATACATGGCACAATACATAAAAAAAAAAAAAAAGATGCAACAACAACCACTGCTGTAGGGTCTTAGCGTCTTGGGCCGCATATTAGGGGAACACCTTTGACAAATGGACAATAGTTGAAAATTCCTAATGATAATGTTTCATAATCTATGAACTAGTAACGTGCCTCACTGAAGAAGTCTTACCCACCATTAAGCGCCTATAGATTCAATCTATACATCAGTCTCAGCCTTAAAGGGTTAGTTCACCCGAAAATGAATTCTGTCATTAATTACTCACCCTCATGTTGTTCCAAATTGTTGAATAAAGTCCTTATTTTTGTTTTCTTTGTGCACAACAAGTATTCTCATAGCTTCGTAAAATTACAGTTGGTTACAACGAAGGTCTTACAGGTTTGGAATGACATGAAGGTGAGCAATTAATGACAGAATTTTTGGGTGAACTAACCCTTTAAACGGTACGACTATGGATGGGAATTGTACACACAAACTGTGAAACCTCCCATGTATTTTCATTTTGCTGTCTCTGTGGCAATCCATTTACAATATTAACACAAACAAGGTAGTTAAAAGCCAAATGTAGACACTTTGTCTATACTGCAAAGAAAGAATGTGCAACAACATCATGTCATGATTTTATCAATCAGGAATTGCTTGGATAATGAATAGTGGTCTCTTTGACAGGTGGTTAGAAGGGAGGAGTTTAGAAATAAGAGGGCTTGATGACGTCAAACAAACAAACAAACAAAAAAATAGTAAATTCAGAGGCAAAGCAAGACTTTTTTGTTTTCTTTGGAGTAGTGTTCACTGATTAAGTCTTCACAATGAAACTCAGAGCACATATAAAGAAAGTGAAAAGGAGCAGTTTTGGTTTCATGTTGAGTGTGTTTAAACAAAAAATTTGTGTTTGCTGTTGGTATTCTTCACCATAAAAACAGACAAACAGAAATGAACCACTAACTAAAACCTGTAACTCACTAACTAATCCTCTCTTCCTCACAATGAGCTGCTCCTTCTTCTCTCTGGAACGTCTCAAAATGTTCAGAGAGAGCTATTTTTGTGGCTTCGCCTTTTTCTTGTTTCTTTCTTGTTTAGACGCCTGTTTTTCTTTTTCTTTCTTTCTTTCAGTGTTTTTTTTTTTTTGTCTGCTGGTTGCTCCACATCAGAGATGAGCAGAAGGCTCTTTTGTGTGTGCTCTGCCCTGAAGGCATTCATGTTGCAAGACAGATTAATAATTACAGACTACACAACAGTCAGGGAGAAACAATTTCTAGATCTTTTGATGTCAAACATGAGAGAGACCAAAATTACACAGAAAAGAGACCATAGAAAAATAAAAAAAGGTCCCCAACTATTTTGTTATTTTTTTGTGTTTGTTTTGTTTTTAATTTCCTCTTATTGTTATGCCTGTTTTGTATGTGTACACTAAATGAGACGATAACTAAAGAAGGATGTCCTTCTCTTGAGCTGATGAAGATGTTCATTTAGAGAAAGTGTTTTATATATACAGTATATATATGTATTTTATACATATTTGTAATGTTTTGTGTAAAAACTAGTGCTGTCAAACGATTATTCGCGATTAATCGCATCCAAAATAAAAGTTTTTGTTTGCATAATATGTGTGTTTTCTGTATATGTGCCACACACACACACACACACACACATGCACGGATATAGACAGTGAAAGCAGGTTGACAAGCTCTTTGTAGCAGTCTGGCTTGCATCTGACAGCTCTTTTGGCAGTTGTGTCTCAGCGTTGTTGTCAGACATGAGTCTGAGATGCTGTTTGTTTTGCGTCGACACTGAAGTTTTCTGTGTGAACATAAAATGCTTCCCCAATCAGCTGATAAAAAATAAGTATAAAGCACAACATGCTGCTTTTATGTGACGTGTTTTCCGTCTCAGTTATGTTAGAGCGCATGAAACAAAGCTGAGTGAGGAGAACTTTCACTCTGCGTTCTGACTCCTAAGAATAATGCAAGCATATGTATATACACAGGGTGACAATTTGTGTTTTTTTTTGTTTTGTTTTTATGTTGTAGGGATAAAGAGGAGCAGCTGGTTCGTGTTCGGGACAGTCAGAGGCTTCAGGCCCAGCAAGCTGAGAGTGCACTGGAGAACTTTAAGAAGCAGGTGGAGCTCAGCTCAGAGAAGACTTACGCTGACATGAAGCAACAGGTGAGTCAAGGGCACCTACAGTTTACCCTGTGTCACAAGGTTTATGAAAGCTATGCTCTGTCAAGCTCACGGTATAGCGGTCAGAGCATCAGCCTCAGACTGCTCACTTACCCTCTGACACACATTCTGACTGAAATCCAAATCACCTGTTTGTGGCTACTATGCAGCTTCCGAAGTCATGTTTACAAGTTTCCAGGTTGCTAGATTGAGCACTTCTGCAGGAAAAACTAATCACTGGAGTTAATGGTCTCGGTCCCACTTTATATTCATTGTCTTTAACTATGTACTTACATTAAAAATAATGAATTGTTTGGTGCAGTGTACTTTTTGTGTTCATGTTGTATCACAAATCACTTTTTCTGCTATTGAGGTATGATATAGGTAAATTAAACGACAGGTTTAGTGGTCTGGTTAGGTTTAAGGGAGGGTTAAGGTTTAGGGGTAGGGTTGCCAGTGTAACTATAGATGTAACTAAAGAAATTAATTACATAAGTAGTTAGAGGAAGGTATTTTTTTTAATATAAGTACAATGTAAAAACATGCATGTACACAATAAGTGCATAAGTACATAGTAGTTAAAGACACTTAATATAAAGCATCATATAATTTGAAAGATATTTAGTGGTGATGCACCAAAATTTCAGCAACTGAAAATTGTTGCGTTTCAGTGTCCATACCTCATTAGTTAGCAAAAATAAATCTTGAGAGGGGCATTTCACTAAGTATTACATGGAAATATTACATATTCATTATACAGGGTTTCCGCGGGTTCTTAAAAAGTCTTAAATTTAAGGCCTTAAAAAGTCTTAAATTGTACAAGAAAGTCTTAATTATGATATCAAGAGGTCTTAAATTTGGGGACTGAAAGACTAGAATTGCGATATGGCTGAATATGACGATTAAACTTCAAAAAGCTATGATTTCATTAAATAAACATGAGCGGTGCACACTACCCCGCTCATATGGTATTAATTTTATTTGTGCAGATCTTAAAAAAAGGTCTTAAAAAGTCTTAAATTTGAGCTTAAAATTCCTGCAGAAACCCTGATTATATTTTTGCTTAACTTGTTAATAATATCTTCATTATTTAATGTACAGTATATTTCAATAAATCTTTCATGAAAGCAGGTTTTTATTACAGCCACTGAAAATGTTTACATATTGGTTGTCGATTGTAATAGAAACCTAATGATATAATTAACAATTTGATATAAAATATGCAACTTAAGTGTTTATATAACTCAGTTTTTAAGTGTAGAAAAAAAAAAGATTGATTATTACATCAATTTTATTTTTGGTTGTTTTTCAGCTAAATGAAACATTTTTAGTGTTTATGTAAATAATTCATAGTTGTAATTGAGACATTTAGTTGTAAGCAAATTCATGTTTCTGGGTTATATCGAATAGCATGATAAATTTACGTAGGAATTACCATAATTAAAATTTTCCTGTAGCAAAATCTTTTTTTTTTCCTTTGGACAGTCAAAGTTTAATTAAAGGTATGACTTCTCCCAATTTTCGCTATTAACTAATTGCTTAATAGCATGCATATTATTAGCATATTGGCTGTTTATTAGTACTTATAAAGCAAATATTAATGCCTTATTCTGCATGACCATATTTTAAAACCCTTAATCTGACCCCATACCTAAACTTAACAACTACCTTACTAACTATTAATAAGCAGTCGTTAGAAGTTTATTGAGGCAAATGCTGTAGTTATCAGTTAGTTAATAGTGAGAATTGGTCTAGAACAGTGATGGGCAAACTTGGCCCTTCCAGGCCACTTTCCTGCAGAGATTTGATCCAACCCTGATAAAACTCACCTGCCTGTAGCTTTCTAGTAGTCTTGAAGACAATGATTAGCTGGTTCAGGTGTGTTTGATTAGAGTTGGAGCTAAACTCTGAAGGAAAGTGACCTGGAAGGGCCAAGTTTACCCACCCCTGGTCTAGAACTTAAAGGAACACTCCACTATTTTAGGGGAGTTGGAAAATGAGCCTATTTTCAAAAATAGTGGAGTGTTCCTTTAAGTGTGAATATTTTTAGGGTTTTGCTGTGATCAACAACAAAGCCACACATTGATCCTTTTCTCGTTATTAGCAATGCTGTAAAAACAAATCATTTTCAAGAATCTAAGGAAAAATTCATAGTAGACTCTCTAAGTGGTCGTCTCATTCTTATGAAACATAAAACCATCAAATTTACCCCAGCTTAGAGTCCACTTATGGAATTACTGTGACTGGTTGCCTCACAATTCAGTCATAGTCTCTTTCTGCCTAAATGTGCGTTCTTGTCCAGAATGAACTGCAATGTGGCAGCAGACTTTAGGCTGAAAGTCTGAGACATTCTTTCACTGATATCTCAGGGTGTATTTGATCTGTGGATTGTTCCAGGGAGTCCAGACAGCAAGCGATCAGTACTGCAGACTGGATCATAAATCATATCCAATCCAATCCCCTCCCCTCATTCAGTCTCACAGGATGTCACTGCATTCCCCCATATGGGCAGCGAGCATCTCTCAGACGACAATTCATGTCATTGTAAAGCTTCCAGCATGACCTAATAGTTAGCACATGTGCTCCAATACATGGAGCTGTGGTGCTCATGTGGGCATTGTAGGTTCATCCGACTCACAAGGTGTGTTGATCTCATTTCCTCAACTCTCTTACCTTAAAGGTGGGGTGAGCGATTTTTCAAAAACGCTTTAGAAAACTGATTCGGGCCGACTAGCAAAACAAACTTGTAGCCAATCAGTAGTAAGGGGCATGTCTACTCATGATGTGGAGGAGAGAGCGTTCAGTGCACAGGATGGACATTAGTGAGCCGAGCGACAGAAGGATAGAGATGGCGGATAAAAAAACAAAAGAGGAAAACGTCTGCGGAAGTAAAGAAGGCTTAAGACAATAAGGTAAGAAGTAGGACACATGTAAATATCGGATCAGCTTTCCAGCGCTGGAGAGAACTCAAGGAGCGGAAGGCCTGCGATCGGACGCCGAGGTTGCTTTGTTTCTTCTCGATAGTTGAATAAA